ACTGCGAAAAGTCGAGCAATCTCCCGCAGGCGGAAATGTCTCCACAGAAGACTGCTGCCGGGCTGTTCCACTATGTACTTTCCCCCCATCGCTTCTATCAAATAGATGATGATGGCCATCCTGCACCAATACATCAAAAAAAGGACTTGAAAGGAACACGGTGTGCTATACCATTGTTTTGATATCAAGTTGCAAGCTTGCTTGAATGGATGGCCAGGCCTTGATGCCAATAAATTCCCACACTGAACCCCCAAGACTGCAGCACAACCCATCGGGTTCAGATACGACCGTTGGGTTGTAGCTCGGCATATGGATACAAAACTGGCACAAACTATAGCCAATACTACGGCCAATTGCCCAGGGCGCCCCTGTAGAACTGCCAAGAGTGCTGTCCTCAGAAAAAAAAGGGTGATGTGGAGGCATCACAAGGGTGGTGCAACTTTTCACACTGCAAATTGCACACATACCAAATGCAACTAGGAATCGCAAAACCACTTGCAGATAACAAATCTAATGGGTTTGAACTGATTTTTTTTCTCGTATTTTCAGCCTTCTCTTTGGACTTTTTGGCGTGCCAAGCATTCCAATAGGCTATATCCATTGAAGCAACAGTATACCCAGCACCACGGGCACATCGGCTAACTGCACGGTCACCAGCAAACATCTCAATGAGGTGGAAGGATGCCTACCGACATGATCACAGAAAAATGACCCTTGAGCGGTGGATGTTTTTGTATGAAGTATATCTGCATGGTGGGGTGGCCTTGGATTTCTCCTCAAAGAGGTCCATGTGGAGAAGCATTAGCACCGCTCCTATCAGGACCTCACAGGGCACGCGAAGAAATGGCTGGGATCCCCAGGGATCAAGATGCATGAGCTATGATGGCTAGACGCCGCAAAGATAAACATAATGAGGACCTTGACTTCCATGGCCAGAAGATGTAACTATACAAAAAGAACTTCTCAAAACATTATGTGGGAAAATGGGGCCCGTGTAAGATGTTCACATATATTTGCAGCTTAGAAACACCTGGGGCATTGAGCATGAGAAGCCGCCGGATGATCCATCTCAATTGGAAATTCTCCATGGCTGATCGGTATGGACTGGTCTATAGCTTTTTGACCAAAATTCTTGCAATCACCGGGAGTTTTCAATTAAATGATTGATGCGGAATGTCTACTTCCGAGAAAAAATATACATGTGAAAGGCATCGCTGGAAACTGGGGGGGCACCTTTCAGGTACCCATTTCGGATCCTCCATGCTTTGCTCATTTGGCCAAGGAGCCTGGCGCAGCTCGGGGGCCCAGCCACAGGAGAAAACTCATGGATCACACGTGCCGGATATAGTCATAACTTAGGGATCGATGTTTAAAAGAATAATGGGGTAGAGCTTACATACATGGGTACCCTTTATATATTATGAAATATTTAAGGGGCTCCAATTTTGGGGCAAAAATGAACATCCAGTTTGGGACCACTCCCTTTATATTTAAATATTTAAGGGGTTCCAATTTTGAGGCAAAAATGACCATCCAGTTTGGGGCCACCCCCTTTATATTTAAATATTTGAGGGGTTCCAATTTTGGGGCAAAAATGAACATCCCACTCCCTTTATTTAAATATTTAAGAGGCTCCAATTTTGGGGCAAAACTGAACATCCAGTTTGGGACCGCTCATAGTGGTTGAATTTGACTGTGGTTTAAAGGCGTGAATGTCGGTCCTTTTTTTCTGCTTGCCGAGCTGAGTTGGGATTTCGATGGATTGCGGATGCCGCCCTAAGCGAACACATGCAGTAGGATGCAAACCCTGCACCATTTACAAGGTGTCACCCAAACATCCTTTGCAAGTGCCAAAAAGCATTGCAACAGTGACACGTCAAACTATTGCTTCAAGGTGCCCAGAACTGACGACAAAAGATCTTTATAAATATTATACTTGCATATATTCTACCATAAAAAGTGCAAATCAATATCAGGTTCGATATGATAAATCTAGTTCACGTCACGGGCAGAACCGGCAACGCCGTCTGTACGGGGCTTTCTGGGGCCCCGTGGTCGAAAATTCGGGTTGAGGCATGTGACACATCCCTTGGCCGCATAGCGGCACCTGCTGCAGCCGGCATGACCTTCAGGCGCACCACCAGCCGGGGGATCAGAGGAGTCCTTGCCCGTTTTGGGCTTGGATCGGCTCTTGGGCTTGGACTTGGCAGCTGCTTTTTTTGCAGCTGCAGCTGCACGATCTTTCGGAATCTTCATTGCGAGCTTGGGGTCATGTGCGTTCTCACTGTTCTTCAACTTTCTGGTCTTGGCAGCTGAAGGAGCAGCTGTGGTGTCAAGGTTCACACCCTTGCGCTTCCCAACTGATCGAACCGTCTCTTTGGCGTGCTTGGCCTTTGTCTCCATGGTGTGGTCCAATTTGATCTTGTTCACCTTCTTGCCCTTCCTCTCCTTTGACTTGTTGCCCTTGGCTTTCTCCCAGATCTTGGAGTTGCGACGTCTGCGACCCCTTTTGCATGTCTTGCCCTTGCCAGTGCGGAGCTGCTTCTGCAGGTTTGGCGCCACCACATCGAATGGAGCGCTGCCATCAGCAAGGCTGCCTGGGACGTGGGGCATCGTTTCCTCCATAGGCTCCACTGGTGCCGTAGACGTCGAAGGCTCCTGGAAACAAGGCACAAAACAAATTCAAGTTGTGTTTGGAAAATGGTGGATATGTCCTTTGTTTTTCTTTAGCCTAAAACTTATTCAGGGGATATTCCATTGCTTTGCTTAATGGGGGTTTTGATTCGTTTTTTTTTGCAACAACCAACAAAACAGCTGAAATCCTCCAAATCAGCGCTGAAAGCACGACCAGCCAGATAGCCACGGCGCTTGCCAGGTGCAGTGACGGGAGACTTGGGGATTCCCAGCGCAGATTCATCCGCTTGACTCTCAGTGAGGGGCAAAGTGTCCACCTGCCAGGTATAGCGTGATCAACAGGTATGGGATATAAACATTAATGTTGATAGCCAAGGGTCCCAAGATGAGGTTGGAAGAAAATTCTTATAAGTATCCCATCCAGAACTTCTGAACCCGACCCTTTGTTTCAACCCCAGCCTGATCCATAGGCCCTGGCAGCGGCGCAGCAGCAGCGACCACTTCAGGAGACCGGCGTCCTGATGGGAACAGTGAACCCCCAAGATACCTGGAATTTATTCTAAAAACTTCAGTGGTTTGGGCATGAATTAAATATTTAAAACCCATGTCCTGGTAGATCCTTCTTAGTAGCTTCCATCCGTTTGGCTTCGAGCTGTTGGCGGAGTCCACGAAGTTCTGCTTCAAGAACTTCCTTGCGTGAAGCCTTGCACGATGTCGAAGTGCCCTCAGCCACCGGTTGGCACGAAAACGATCCAACGACACAGACTTCATCATCAGATTCATCATCACGGCATGGCCCACGCCAGGCTTTGGTAGGAGCAACTGGCTTGGAAGGCGCCAAGTTGATCAACTTCTGGGGGGGCTTGCTAACCTCCTTCTTGGCCTCGTTGTCGGCAGCAGGACTTTCAAGGCTGGCTGGCAGGACTGGAGCCGATTCAGCTTTGCCACTTCCATCCAAGGAGGCGGTGGTTGGTGTAACTGCAGCCTCAGCGGAAGGATCAGAATTTCCGACAGGAAGCGGGGAGTCTGAAGAGCTATCACAAACCGTTCCTTCAGCTTCAGGCTCGGAGCCTGCTTGAGATGATGTTTCTGGTTCAGGCTCTGCGCTGGCTCCATCACTCGATCCACCTTCAGACTCTTCTCGCTGTGCGCGGATGAAGTGAACTGGAAAGCCACCGTTCTCCTTGATCTTGGCGATAAACTTGAACAGGCTCCGGACACCACGATCCTGAGAGCAACGGCTGTTGAAAGTTGAAAGGGTAAGTGGGAGCTTTAGGCCAATAACGACATCATTTCCCATTGTATAGATTATATACATTTTTTCTTCCCAGTATAGCATCTTAAAACACCAAGACCCCAGAAAGAAATATGGAATAACAAAGCAAAGGGTCTCTGGGTGTTTGTCCCCTTCGCTTGGAATCCTTTTGCCGACGCTGGGCAAAACCATAAAGCCGCCTGATGTTCCACGCATCCAAGTAAGGTTGCTTTGGGTTCTGAGGCAAAAACTCCAGCAAGTCAAAGAGTTTGTTAACCTCCCAGGGGTATCGTGAAATATTATGATAATAAGAAAGGGGCATGTCATACCATACTATGGAATTAAAATTTCTTTAAAAATAAGTTTGATAGAAACAGACCAGAAACCTCCTTTTCCAGCTGCGGAATGCTAGGCTTTGGTCGCAACCCATAGGTCTGATAAACGGCACGGATGATTGACACATTCCGCTTCAAGAATCTGGTGCTGGGCTCCATTTGGAGATCAGCATCAACATCCTGATCATCATTCTCATTAGTAGGCACCCTAACCCATGGATCCTTGTTCCGAAATCGTTTTCTCACCAGGCCGCACCGCTCCCATCGCTCTGCAAGTCTGGGGGCCATGTTGGGCAATTAGCCAAAACCCTTCTAGTATCTTCCAGTCTTGGGCAGAAAGGGCAAGTATAGAGGTGTGCATCATTGTGCATCTATAGAAGTTCATCTCACCATGGTTCAACCGGTGTCCCACGCCAACCCAGCTGCATTCCCAGGAGCGGGCCTGCTGCCAGTGCGGTGATGACCACATGGTCGATGGTGAAAATGCGGTTTCACTGCTGGTCTCTGCTGGGTTGGCGTTGAGTCCACAGGGATGTCATGCAATATAATGGTTCTGAATGCTATAGAACGGTTCTGTATGGTATGGCCAATACATATGACTTGAAATTGTCTATGTGAACCCTTCCATGTTGCAACATCTTATTTGTTAAAGCCAAAAAGCGCCACTGTGATAGAAATCACCAAAGTGCCATAAATATCAAAGATCTACGGAAAAATACGGCAACTTGCAACGGTGATATCTTTTTTTGGGAACTTTGGACTTCCAGGTAGATCCTTTATGGAAAAACAAATAAAACCAAATAGCCAAAGCTTATTACAGCTGGTTGCAACGAAACTGGAGTGCAACATACCACCACCATCACCATTTGGCCGCGCTGCTTCATTCCCGCTTTGATGTTGTCCCTCGTTGGTCGACTACCTTAGTGGTGCCACATGACCATGAACATTTGCTAATCACTTGGACCTCAAAATGATGGGCTTTTGGATCCCAGAAAAAAATCCGATTCCTTTTCCAACATGTGTTTGGATCCCAAAAAAGATCAGAATCCTTTTCCAGCATCTTCAAGATGATATGTACCTCATGTTTCGAGAATCTGAAAAATTGCCGGTCAAAAATGCAATTTCACCAACAAAATCATAAGTGCCCTCTTTGGCCACCGACGAGATTTTTTGGGAAACATCCCCCCAAATCTTCCTTTGTAAAGCCCCGCGGACGCAGACACGTCAAGCTGCTCTCTGATGCGCCCTCGCCGTCCATCAGCACCTTGGTGTCCTCAGGAGTGTCGTTGAAGCCCCAATGACCACAGAAGTAGTTCTTCATCTTTTCAGCCTCGGCTGTTTCGGGCGCCTTCAGCCGCGCCAGAAATGAAGAAGAGATTGATGATCTTAGTCATTGAGAGATATGATTGTAGGAATGCGGCGTTCCATAATTGGAGAATCACAAAAATGCTTGGTTTATATTGTGAAATATGATTGTAGAAATGATTTCTACGAATGATGACACGTTCATGGATAGTCGCGGTTGACAAAGCCTTTTTATATATCTGCAATCCCTTCTTCATTACTGGATGACCCCCAGATATAGTCAAGCTGTTGGTTGAAGGAAAGGCTGGTCACCAGCAATCTTAAATTGGAGTGCAAATTGCCATTTCTCGTGTAAAACATCTTTTTCTGATGGGTATCGCGCCATGTCAGCCATGTCAAACAAATGTCGTCGCGCCACATCCCAAGCTATGTTGCGGTCCGTGAAGTCAAGCTGTTGGTGACCCCCGGTGTACATCACGGGTTGGTAAATGTCCTAATTTTTCAGATCACCTAATCTGGTTGGTGGTATACCTACCCCTCTGAAAAATATGAGTCAGTTAGGATGATGACATTCCCAACTGAATGGAAAGTCATAAAAAATGGATAATTTAGTTTTACTTACTGGTAATGTGACAAATATGGGGTTCATCTACATTTTTATCTAGAAATATCTATAAATCGGATTTCATGTGCCAGTCACCAACCAATTCGGGCGGATCTTTATGGATCTTTCATCTCCAAGAACTTGCCCATTTTCCCAAGCCGATCACTGCTGAATTCGGGTGACATCTTCGTGGCATTTGGGCAGGTACCTCAGCAGGGCTGGTTCTTCTGGCGCCATGGAACGGAGAACCATGGCTTGGGCCACCAGAGAAAAAGCTCCCCATGAAATCAATGACTCAACTGTTAAAAGATTGGCTTCCGGAAGTCTGCTAAGATGGTATCAGTTACTCAACTAGTAGCTCCATGGCTCCCCATTCAACGTTGCCAGTCCAAAGGTCTCCTGAAATCTTGTCATCTCAAAAGGCTTTCTACAGCAACCCATCCACACATTATGAATGTGATCATCCAATTTGTTGGAGGGATAAATCAATGTGTTCAACCTCTCTGCCGGAACTTACAGTACCTGTGGGCCCATCCATTGGAGAGTCTTCATGTTGGGGACCCACGAAACCTGGTCGTTCTGGGACCATGAGTAACAATGTCTGCAATTCCACAATAAATCCTGCTTATGCTGACTCTTCTATTGGGATCTTAACATCATAGAACTACAGCACACATGCATTCGGTAGTATAATAATGTATATAGTCATCCCCAAATAGAAGGAAAAGTAAATCCCTACTACTTTGATGGTGATTCACTTTTCCATCTATTTGGGGATTACCATATAGATATTTACCTATGATGAATAAGTAATGTCAAACCTGGCTCGTTAACTCAGGGAAGATCCCAAAAATTGTGATCACACTGCGCGGAATCCCGGATTGACATCGCCCGTCATGACTACATGACAATGCCACCACCATTTCTGCATCAATCCTGTTGTTGGGTTCCAGGGGGTCCATATTCAACCAATAGTTTCTACCCCTTTCCGGTTCATCCAAAATGTTGGAAAAGACTTTCCCAAGGCCATCTTTCACCCTCAGCTAATACCCATCAATCAAATCAGAAACAAATATTGGCATTACCATCAGCAACCAAATTCTCCAACTTCACTTCCAGTCACTTCCCCACATCCCCAAAAAACTCAAACCTCGCAGTTTTGTCGGGCCAAAAAAATGGCATCGCCACGGCACGACTCGGTTCCCGCGTAGCAAATCCCCACGAAGAGCGCCTTCCTTCGCGGTCCCTGCGGCCGTTCGGGCGCCCCCACGATGCCCTCCGGCAGCAGCGTGGCGGCCGCGCGGATGGCCGCGGTGTCTTTGACGCCATCGACCAAGCGGGTCACCAGGTAGTCCTCCACCTGAGTTTTCCCCGAAAGGCCCGGAAGGCCCGGAACCAGCCAATTTCATGGGAAATGGAGATTTAGAGGGAATTTAATGAGAATCTAATGATGATAAAATAGAAAATTCATGGGGGGTTCATGGGAATTGAATACGAATTTAGTCTGGACATCTAAAGGTGATTTAAAGGGAATTGAATGGGAACTGAATGGGATCGGATACTTATAACAATATAATGGGATCTGTACAAGAGGATTTATATCGGCATCTATTAATGTTTTCTATACTAAATGTTATTTTCAAAGGTTGCATCCCTATGATACATGGGATGTATGTCATGGGATTTCATGTGATACAATGGAAATCTAGTGGGATTATACTTGCACATCAGCAACAATGTGGGGTTGAATGAAGCCACATAATGTGTAAAAATGGACCTGCCAAGCATCAAGTTGGGGATACACTGGGATGTCTTATGGGATAGACATATACAGATACATACATATACTAACTAGCAATACTTAACGTATGTTTAAGGGATTGAGCAACTCAAGTTATGGGGTAGAATCAGACATGTCATGGGTCATATAATCTTAAACCATATTTAACAAACATGTAGGGGGGTTGAGTCACTGATGCTTTGGGCTCATAACCTTACTTGAAAATAGGGAGAGAATTGGGATAGAATATCTGATAACAAGAATGACAACTTCACTTCATTTAGTGGTCCATGCTACGAACCGTAAGTGGGTCTTGTACCTAGCTATAAAGTGCAGGGGTAGTCCAGGGTTATAAGCTACCTGATACATGGGGTTGACAAAACACAAGCGAAAAATTTGCCATGGCCCCACACTCCGTTTGCAGCGACAAAAGTCCCAAGAAATTCTGAACTGTGTTTTTTCCCTTTCTCAAAATAACAAGTTCTTAGTTCTGTCAATGTTTCAAGATTTTGGACAACATGTCGGTTCTCTCCTAGCTTAAGTTCGCACCCGAACTGACCATGCCTTGCGGAGGCCAGGTAGAAAGTGCTCCCACTTCACAGTCACGGAAGCAATTTTCACCCTCTCCTAACAGAGGTGATGGCAACGTGGAAAAACTGCGGCCCCTACTGAGCCCTACTGTACCTGGAAGATCCTCCCATGGATTGTTAGTGCCTAGGAACCATAGTATTTTAAGTTAGTTCACCAAATTTATACATACAGTAGTAAGGACATCTTGGCACCTATATTTTCCCGGTTATCCAGTTGGGACTTACTCAGGATTGACCAAGTGGGATTATCCTCCAAGTCCTTAGATGCCTTAGATTGTGATGCTCGACGGAAAAGTCGATACCACTAACCCTCTGAAAATCATTGATGATCTTAATCTGTTGGAGCCCAGGCTTCTTGACTTTCATCCATTTGATCTCTTGAAAAGTCCAAAGAGCAGCTAATGAATTACCTCTACTGCCAATCTTAGGCGCATGTGTGTTCCAAAAATCTTGACACGGAGTGACACACTGCGATTTGGCTCTCAGCCTCATCACTTGGTTCTCTGGTTGCTGCCTTCATCCCGCCCCTATGCCGCCTCCCGGCTCTTGCGTTGCATGATGGCAAAGTCAATGGAGATGGGTTGGCCATCATAGGCCAGCTCATACTTGCAGTTGGGCCACTTCCTTAGGTTACTGTTCTTTAGGTTCCAGCCCACGAAAATGCCAGAACACCCAAGAAAACAGGACAGAAACGCCAAATCCTATTTAAATGGAAATGGTCAGTTCGATTTGTCTTTCTGGGGGTTAAACCGCTACTGAGAAAAAAAAAGTGGGAGCCATAGAGCTAGCGGCTCAATGACAACTGGCTCTTGAAACTGACTCTTGTGGGGGCATGTGCCCTGAGAAGCAACATAGATTTCAGCCACACCCCACCACATTTGAGGCTGATTTCAGTGCGGCAGCTAGGATGACTAATGAGACCAACAACCGACCTGGAAAAAAACATGGAAAAAAAACTTTGCAAAAAAAAAACACGGCAATGCAATGTGGATATATAACGATGGTTATGAAAGCATATAAAGGCCATATCCCAACTGATAAGAGTTATATCCTTATATATCCCAACTTTTGGGGGTTATTGCCACACGGTGATACCTACCAGTTGGACCTTCAGAACCGTTGGGATCCCTTTGGAAAGATCGGTAGTAGGGATCAACTCGGCACACCGAATCCACAACTTTCACAACTTCAGTGGGAAAAAAAAAAAACATGACAAAATTTGACCAAAATCCTGACGATGGATTGGTTTAAGGGAAAATTGAAACCGGAAAGCCCCATATTTAATGGGAAAATCTATGGTTTCCTGTAGATTTTCCCTTAAACCAATCCATTGATCCTGACGATGAAATTTCTTTTCATATGGACTTCGATACGTCTTGCGGGACAAAAAAAACACGCCCGTTTCCTGAAGTGCCATCCGTTGTATCAGGTGCTTCGCAGTAAATCCTCGCGCCTAGATCACAGTAGCTACACAGTTCCCAAAAGTGGCACCAAATCATCCATCACTTCATGGTCTCAAGATGTCTCAAAGAGAAACCACTGTGGCCCTGTCTGAACCCAACGAGAGGCGGGTTGGTTGCGTTGTGGTGCGTATCGGTGGTGTACTCCTGGCCTCCACAGGTAAAAGTCGCATAACAGTTGGGCGGCTCCACAAAAAAGTGCCGCCCCATAAGGACCTCAATCACCTCATGGAAAAAACAGAGATGACCAGGGCCATTGAACTAGTCAAATGGATTTAAATGGAACATGTTACTTGAAACCATGTGTTTTTACATTGTTTTTCCCGATGTTTTTTAAAGTGTCCTTTTAAATGTTCCCTTCATCCCAGGATTTTGTTCGGAGGGCTCAACCTTGTGGTACTGCGGTCTGGTGCCCCAAAGCTATGGGCTGGTTGATATCGTTTCCCACTTCCTTGCATCATCCTCATCTCATCCCATTATCAAAACAGTTCGTATGCATATATATATATATATAATATATATGGGGGTTGTCCTAAATTACTGTTCCCACAAAGGCCTCTTGGGCCGAGCTTGCGCCAACCTTGCGCGTTTCTTGCGCGACCACACGCCCGGATCACTTTCATCATTTCAATTGTTTTTCATCATTATTCTCGTACTTGTTTTCGAATGTTAAATATTTAGTATTCACTTAGTATTTCGTACTGGGAAGTAGTTTGTGCAAGCTTTGTAGTACACAGTAGTACTGGGAAGTAGTTTGTGCAAGCTTTGTAGTACAAAGTATTGGGAAGTAGTTTGTGCAAGCTTTGTAGTGCAAAGTAGTACTGGGAAGTAGTTTGTGCAAGCTTTGTAGTACACAGTAGTACTGGGAAGTAGTTTGTGCAAGCCATGTAGTACAAAGTAGTACTGGGAAGTAGTTTGTGCAAGCTTTGTAGTACACAGTAGTACTGGGAAGTAGTTTGTGCAAGCCATGTAGTACACAGTAGTACTGGGAAGTAGTTTGTGCAAGCTTTGTAGTACAAAGTAGTACTGGGAAGTGCTTTGTGCAAGCTTTGTAGTACACAGTAGTACTGGGAAGTGGTTTGTGCAAGCTTTGTAGTACACAGTAGTACTGGGAAGTGCTTCGTGCAAGCTTTGTAGTACACAGTAGTACTGGGAAGTGGTTTGTGCAAGTTTTGTAGTACACAGTAGTACTGGGAAGTAGTACTGGGAAGTAGCTCTGCACGTGTTGAACTTCTGTGGTTTCAGAGCGGTTTCAGAGTGGTTTCAGACCCCTTCGGGGTGTCTAGCTGACCTTGATGAAAAGAACAATTTACAGACAGAAAAGACTTGAACACAACATACAAGGAAATACATTTAAAGAGCAGACAGACAGACAGACAGATAGATAGATAGATAAATAGATAGAGATAAAGCAGCCAACGCGGTCCGGAAGACATGCAGCAGCAGCCCGGAGATGGTGAGCAGGAAGGTGTTTCAGAGTGGTTTCAGACCTCTTTTGGGCTTGTTTTTTGGGTACCCCCAGCTTTGGGAGATGAAAAAAGAAAGAGAAAAGGTAGAGAAAGAGAGAGAGAGAGAGACAGAGAGAGGAAGAGGGAAAGAGAGAGAGAGAGAGAGAGGAAGATGGAAGATGGAGACAAACAGAAGGCGAGAGAGAGAGAGAGAGAGACAGAGAGAGGAAGAGGGAGAGGAGAGAGAGAGCGTGGTAAATGGTGAGCAGCGGGGTGTTTCAGAGTGGTTTCAGACCTCTTTTTGTCCGTAGGCTACCTCAGCTTTGGAGAAAAAACAGGAAACAACGGGAAAAGAAAGAAGAGAAGGGAGAAAGAGACAGAGAGAAAGAAGAAGTCTTGAGACGGTGAGCAGGAAGATGTGTCGAACTGGTTTCAGACCTCTTTTGGGGCCGGTTATGGGGCTATAGTTCTTAAGACATCCAAAAAAAGGGGCTCAAAACAGATTGTACTTGAAACACATGCGGTCCGGAAAGACGTGCAACGGTCCGGAAAAGCAAGCACCCAAAACGTACTCTAATCGTAGCGATTGCGGTCCGGAAAGGCATGCAGCGGTCCGGAAAAGCGAGCACTCACAACGCACTCTAATTGTAGACATTGCGGCCCGGAAAGACATGCAGCGGTCCGGAAAAGCAAGCACCCATTACTCTAATTGTAGACATTGCGGCCCGGAAAGCCATGCAGCGGTCCGGAAAAGGAAAGACCTGCAGCGGTCCGGAAAAGCAAGCACCCAAAACGTACTCTAATTGTAGCCATTCTGGTCCGGAAAGACCTGCAGCGGTCCGGAAAAGCAAGCACCCAAAACGTACTCTAATTGTAGACATTGCGGTCCGGAAAGACATGCAGCGGTCCGGAAAAGCAAGCACCCAAAGTACTCTAATTGTAGACATTGCGGCCCGGAAAGCCATGCAGCGGTCCGGAAAAGCAAGCACCCAAAAAGTACTCTAATTGTAGATATTGGTCCGGAAAGACGTGCAGCGGTCCGGAAAAGCAAGCACCCAAAACGTACTCTAATTGTAGACATTACGGTCCGGAAAGACATGCAGCGGTCCGGAAAAGCAAGCACCCAAACCGTACTCTAATTGTAGCCATTGTGGTCCGGAAAGACCTGTAGCGGTCCGGAAAAGCAAGCACCCAAAAAGTACTCTAATTGTAGATATCGCGGTCCGGAAAGACGTGCAGCGGTCCGGAAAAGCAAGCACCTAAGACATTACGGTCCGGAAAGACATGCAGCGGTCGGGAAAAGAGGATAGCACGAGACAGACTAAGGTGTCTTTTTTTTATTTGTAAGTGTTTATAAGTGAGACTTACAAAAGTTATGTAAGTCCAAAAACTGATTTATGGGGACTTACGAGAGCTTATGAATTTGTGCTTGAAGACTCATTTCTCTCTCACTAATGGAGTTGGAAAATTTCTATACTGGAAGCTTTTTTTTTTGGGGGCTGTGTGCCAGGAACAGGGTTGTTAGATTTTAGTCGCATATAGGCCGCGCGTGGTTCGTTGTATGTATACACTTTGTATGAACACTTGTATTGAAATCTTTCATAGCCATATATAGACATATATGTTTATATATATATGTATGTACACAGCAAATTGCTAAGACACTATAATGATGATTCACCCTCTACCACCCTCTACCACCCTCTACCATCCCTCTACCATCCCTCTACCATCCCTCTACCGTCCCTCTACCGTCCCTCTACCATCCCTCTACCATCCCTCTACCATCCCTCTACCATCCCTCTACCATCCCTCTACCGTCCCTCTACCGTCCCTCTACCATCCCTCTACCATCCCTCTACCATCCCTCTACCACCAGACCCTCCCTCTACCATCCCTCTACCATCCCTCTACCATCCCTCTACCACCCTCTACCGCCCTCTGCCATCCCTCTACCATCCCTCTACCATCCCTCCACCCTCCCTACATTATGCTCAAACATTTATAACCAGTTATAACTAATAGATGGCCGTAACTGTAAAAAAAATGCTGTGAAAAAAAACTGTCACAATGATTGCTCACACTGCTCTTCCACATTTTTCTCGCTCAATGACGCGCGTGTCAAGAGTTACGTCAACGTCATACAAGAAAAGCTTCCAGTATGCATCAACTCTTGTTTGCCGACAGCACTACTTTGTCCATCCTTTGGACACAGAACTGAGCAGTTGACAAAATACATGTTTGCGTCAGCAAACTCTCAAATTCCGAAACATGAAAAAACACGGTTTTCAGGACTTACAAAATTTATGAATTAGATTTTGTAAATTTCACAGTGTGACTTACAAACGTTTACAAATAAAAAAAATACACCTTAGGAGATGGAGACAAACAGAAGGCGAGAGAGAGAGAGAGACAGAGAGACAGGGAGACAGAGAGAGGAAGAGGGAGAGGAGAGAGAGAGCGTTGTAAATGGTGAGCAGCGGGTGGTTTCAGAGTACGTTTTGGGTGCTTGCTTTTCCGGACCGCTGCACGTCTTTCCGGACCGCAATATCTACAATTAGAGTACTTTTTGGGTGCTTGCTTTTCCGGACCGCTGCAGGTCTTTCCGGACCACAATGGCTACAATTAGAGTACGTTTTGGGTGCTTGCTTTTCCGGACCGCTGCAAGTCTTTCCGGACCACAATGATTACAATTAGAGTACGTTTTGGGTGCTTGCTTTTCCGGACCGCTGCATGTCTTTCGGACCGTAATGTCTACAATTAGAGTACGTTTTGGGTGCTTGCTTTTCCGGACCGCTGCATGTCTTTCCGGACCACAATGGCTACAATTAGAGTACGTTTTGGGTGCTTGCTTTTCTGGACCGCTGCATGTCTTTCCGGACCGCACTGATTAAAATTAGAGTAGGTTTTGGGTGCTTGCTGTTCCGGACCGCTGCATGTCTTTCCGGACCGTAATGTCTACAATTAGAGTACGTTTTGGGTGCTTGCTTTTCCGGACCGCTGCATGTCTTTCCGGGCCGCAATGTCTTCAATTAGAGTACGTTTTGAGCGCTTGCTTTTCCGGACCGCTGCTCATCTTTCCGGACCGCAATGTCTACAATTAGAGTGCGTTTTGGGTGCTCGCTTTTCCGGACCGCTGCATGCCTTTCCGGACCGCAATCGCTACGATTAGAGTACGTTTTGGGTGCTTGCTTTTTTTTTCCGGACCGTTGCGCGTCTTTCCGGACCGCATGTGTTTCAAGTACAATCTGTTTTGAGCCCCTTCTTTTGGATGTCTTAAGAACTAGGTAGCCCCATAACCGGCCCCAAAAGAGGTCTGAAACCAGTTCGACACATCTTCCTGCTCACCGTCTCAAGACTTCTTCTTTCTCTCTGTCTCTTTCTCCCTTCTCTTCTTTCTTTTCCCGTTTTTTCCTGTTTTTTCTCCAAAGCTGAGGTAGCCTACGGGCAAAAAGAGGTCTGAAACCACTCTGAAACACCCCGCTGCTCACCATTTACAACGCTCTCTCTTTCTCCTCTCCCTCTTCCTCTCTCTGTCTCTCTCTCTCTCTCGCCTACTGTTTGTCTCCATCTTCCATCTTCCTCTCTCCCTCTCTCTCTCTCTATCTCTCTCTCTCTCTCTTTCCCTCTTCCTCTCTCTGTCTCTCTCTCTCTCTTTCTCTACCTTTTCTCTTTCTTTTTTCATCTCCCAAAGCTGGGGGTACCCAAAAAACAAGCCCAAAAGAGGTCTGAAACCACTCTGAAACACCTTCCTGCTCATCTCCGGACTGCTGCTGCATGGCGTTGGCTGCTTTATCTCTATCTATCTATCTATTTATCTATCTACCTATCTGCTCCTTTTTCTTTGGATGGCCTATTTACCACCCTGGTTATCTATGTTTATCAACTCGAGATATTAATATTTAAGATCTAAATCAGATACGGTAGTAGTAGTAGTAGTAGTAGTAGTAGTAGTAGTAGTAGTAGTAGTAGTAGTAGTAGTAGTAGTAGTAGTAGTAGTAGTAGTAGTAGTAATAGTAGGAGTAGTAGTACTAGTAGTAGTAGTAGTAGCAGTAGTAGTAGTAGTAGTAGTGGTAATGTAGTAGTAGTAGTGGTAGTAGTAGTAGTAGTGGTAGTAGTAGTAGTAGTGGTAGTAGTAGTAGTAGTCGTCGTCGTAGTAGTAGCAGTAGTAATCAAAATGTTAATTAAAATAGTACTTGTAATAATGATAACAATAGTACTTGCGCGTACCTTGGGCCGCCCTTGCGCGAAACTTGCGCGATGCAGGTTTTAGACCATGGGAACAATGCGAGAATAGGTCCTTTACTAAAAACCTTTCTGGAGTTTTTGGACGGCTCCCATATATATATACCCTCTGGTAAACTAACAGTTTGCTATTGAAAATTGCCATAGAAATAGTTGATTTTCCCATTAAAAATGGTGGATCTTTCCATAGTTTTTTGTATGTCTACCAGGCCGGGTATATATAACCATCAGCCACCATGGGTCAACTGAACAATGTCCTGAGCTCAAATCTGCCGATGGTCCCATCCCTTTGTCCCGGATGCGCGGCAAAATGTAGACAAGATCTGGAAAAGGTAGTCGTCGTTCAAAGAAAACGTTCAATTTGTCTTTTTCAGGGAACTCCCATAAGCATGGTTCATCGTTTCGATATCAACAAATCAGTTCGGCTGGCTAATTTTCAGTCTAATGTGTCATCATTTACCACAAAAAAAATTACTTCACTTCGAATGATCCCCACCATGGCATTTATACATGTTCTTACTGGCAAATCTTCTGGCATTCTATCTGACATATCTTCTGACATTCTATTTGGCATTCTATCTGGCATATCTTCTGGCATATCTTCTGGCATATCTATCTGGCATATCTTCTGGCATTCTATCTGGCATATCTTCTGGCATTCTATCTGACATTCTATCTGGCATATTCTGACATTTTTTCTGGCATTCTTCTGGGCATATGTTCTGGCATATCTTCTGCATTCTATCTGACATATCTTCTGGCATTCTATCTGGCATTCTATCTGGCATATCTTCTATCTTCTGGCATTCTATCTGGCATATCTTCTGGCATATGTTCTGGCATATCTTCTGGCATTCTATCTGGCATATCTTCTGGCATATCTTCTGGCATATATCTCTATCTTGTGGCATTCTATTTATTCTATCTGGCATTCTATCTGGCATACCTTCTGGCTATCTCATATCTTCTGGCATTCTATCTGGCATATCTTCTGGCATTCTATCTGGCATATCTTCTGGCTATCTGGCATCTTCTGACATCTTCTGGCATATTATCTGGCATTCTATCTGGCATATCTTCTGGCATATCTTCTGGCATATATTCTGACGTATCTTCTGGCATTCTATCTGGCATATCTTCTGGCATATCTTCTGGCATATCTTCTGGCATATCTTCTGGCATATCTTCTGAGATTCTATCTGGCATTCTATCTGGCATATCTTCTGGCATATATTCTGACGTATCTTCTGGCATTCTATCTGTATCTTCTGGCATATCTTCTGGCATATCTTCTGACATTCTATCTGGCATTCTATCTGGGGGTGGAGGTCCGGCAGTGCCCACTGGGATCTGGAGCTCGCGGTGGAGCACTGGGATCTGGACTGCGAGGAGGAGGACGAGGAGGAGATGGAGGAGGAGGCGGAGGAGGAGGAGAACAGCTCTGATAAAATCTAACAACCCTCACCTGGCAGGTGGGGAAATAGAATTTAAAAAAAAGAACGTTTTCACCATAAATTTCACAATAATTAACCCAACATTTACCCAATAACTTCGTTTTTCACCAACATTTACCCAATAAGCTGAACCCCTTCAGCAGAATTGAGCACCACTTGCGGCCCGGGCACCACAGGCATGATGACAGCTGCGGATTTGATGACTATACCGTGGTGTCACAGTTGTTTTTGACCAAAAACTTCAAGATGCTGCAGTCAAAATAACTCCAATCAACAGTGTTCCAGTTGACTGTGGTGTATAAAGCACTGAAGCGGCTGCAACATGACTTTCGCATACTGCCATGGGCCGAGATCCCCGTGGGAACTGTGTCGAGTTTCCTGAGGTGCATAATTTTACGGTTCCCAAGTGCCATGGATCGATCCAATCAAACACTTCAAACAACCCAATGGTTCTTGCCTTACTGGGTCGTTTCACTTCCCCATGCAGGGATTTTCATCATGCCTGGTTCCTTAGCGTCACAGTACTACACCCCAGTTCCAACAACCAAAACCAGTATTTTGAGCATCATAGATCCAGGTGACCATAATTTCTGGATGTTCGTCCATATCAGTGCGTGTTTTACGAAAAGGTTTTTGGAAATGAGGTTCGTGGTGGAAGGTGTCAGAAGGCCTTGCATTTGTCACTATGCGACGCTTCATGACTTCAACATTCTTCAACTTGAAAGTGACAGCAAAATACTGCAAGAACATCCGGAAGCATCAACAAACTAACCATTTCAAACCCCTTTTCTCGCGCTGCCACGATGTTCACAGCAGTCTCACATCCCTGGCGCGTGTGGAGCACGCCACAGCAAGTAGACAAGAATGCCCAGAAGACTATGACTACAGCTCCTGGGAAAAGGAAACTTAGCAGCCGTAAATACCCAATGACTTCAATTTGGAAAATACACACTCCTCAACCATATCCAAACTGGCTCTTGGAACTGACTCCTGTGCTGCATGGAAGCCGTGGGAAGCAACATGGTTTTTCGTTTGGAGCATCATCCCACGGATCAGAACTGGATTGAAACCACTCGATCATCAAATCAGCCATCTCCAAGGTTGGACCCCATCGTACCGCGCCGAGCCAGCCTGAGACCTCACAATCTGCCACTATCTGTGGTCCAAGACATACCTGGCACCGGTGGGAAGACTAAGAAAACAGCTTTGAGAACTTGTCAACTTTGTCTACCCAGCACGGGGTGAAAAAAATTGAGACCAACCGGTGGAGATGCAGAAAACCAACTGGGTGGCAAGCTGGTGAACACCACAGGAGGCAGCATGCTTACGGCAACGGCACGGCCCAGCATCCCTGGTTTTTTTGGAGCTGCGAATTGCTTCAGCTTAACATTTCATTAGGTTTCAATGTTCGAGAAAATAGATGAAAATAGTTCAATGTTTGGATGAGCGTGGCTTTATTGTGAAAACAGGAACACTATCCATACCATTCTAGAAAATTCAAGATTCTCATCCTGACACATAGGATTTGCCGTTGACTATGACCATCGTCACCACAGTAAATTTGGAACAAAGGATGACCGAATGAGTTGGATGAAAAAACATAAAACACTATGTTCGTGACTACAGTTAGGTGGGTGCTTTTTTATTGGATCTAAGAACCAGAGAATGAGGGAGCCAGCGAGTGACTTCTGACAGCGGAACAGAGAGTGCTACAACACTACTGGAGTTCATAGGAGATTCAGTACGAGCTAGCAGCTACATGCAGCTACCAGGTTGATCTGCAAGTACATAAAAGTATGTTACCATGGATTTTAAAGTACACACTCCAAAGTATATAGAAGCCTTTCAATATACCAAAAAATAAAATATATAAGTAGAGCGTACCATGAAACTGAATTTGTCAAATGGTGAGGTATGAGTGGCCATTGATAGGGTATGCCGATATGCCCATCATTCAGAAGTTCTCCTCTGCCTAAAGGAGTTGGTGTTTACTCCCAGACACACTGATTTCTTTGTGTATCATACTCTGAATCCAGCTCGAAGTGAATTTCTTCTGAGATTTGTTGTGCAAGGTGCAAATCTTTCGGTGCCTGGAATGTTGGGATTAGGCATGAACTAGCACTAGACTGCAGGGCTGCCTTGGGTGCACAATTTTGATTCGCAGTTGCATGGGGTTGTTTAACCCCTTCCCTCCGCAAGCTGAGCGCTCGATTAAATTTCTGGCTCCGGACAGCATCATGTGTAAGGGCTGAAGCGTGTGAGACCTGTCTCTCCTGTTCAATGAAGTAACTCCAGGTTTCGGATAATTCCAGCGCAGCAACCTGCAGGCTGAATCTGAAGGACCCTAGTTGATTAATCGCTGATTCATCCAAATTCTGGAAGCCTTGCATGTCTGCATCACGCATTTCGTGCAGGAAAAAGAAACTCAGCAAATCCATCAAAACATTCAGAAATAAAGAGAGCTCTTACATCACCTCCGAGGGTTCACCTGGTTTTCCAACACCACCAATCCATGTCGGCCCAAAAAGGGGATCCATGGCCTCACCCCAGAGCTTTCCCGGCCTCAGTGACGACATTCCAAGGGAACGCCCTTCCTCTTTCGCTCCTCCATCGCCTCCCTCAGCGCCTGTTTGGGTTGACGAATCAGTCGCCAGCGGACAGCACAGTACAGCAGATTGGACAACTCTCGATCCGAGCTGAATGATGAAACTCCAGATTAATTCGAGGTATGATAGTCAAGTCATAGCAACAAGAATTAAATCTAGTTGGGGCCCCATCTGCTGCAAACCATCCAAACTTCTCACTGTCACAGGATGTCAAAAACATAACATCATGACATGCCGCAGCATTCAGCGATTCTGCGTAGCCCACCACACGCCAGGCCTTGGCGCCCTCGGCGCCAATCTGGTTGTTGGACAAACTGATGTCTGTGACGGACGCATTTATCTTCAGTGCCTCGGCCAAGGCCTGGAGGCAGCGACAGATCAAGGTTGGCATATTGTTCGTGGGCCCTTCAAACAAAACCTGATTTCTGAAATGCTCAAAAAAAAGGACATTCAACTGAGAAATGTCGAACCTCTCTGATTCAAAACTTGGAAAAACAATCCAGAAATCCATGGTTTCATTCAGCATCTACATACAGTATATGACATACAGCTGGATTGGGAGTATTTGACAACTCAAATCAATCCGAGATGAACGATGAAACTACAGCACCTGCAAACCATCCAAACTTCTCACTGTAAGAGGATGTCGAAAATATGACATCATGACATGCCGCAGCATTCAGCGATTCTGCGTAGCCCACCACACGCCAGGCCTTGGCGCCCTCGGCGCCAATCTGGTTGTTGGACAAACTGATGTCTGTGACGGACGCATTTATCTTCAGTGCCTCGGCCAAGGCCTGGAGGCAGCGACAGATCAAGGTTGGCATATTGTTCGTGGGCCCTTCAAACAAAACCTGATTTCTGAAATGCTCAAAAAAAAGGACATTCAACTGAGAAATGTCGAATCTCTCTGATTCAAAACTTGGAAAAACAATCCAGAAATCCATGGTTTCATTCAGCATCTACATACAGTATATGACATACAGCTGGATTGGGAGTATTTGACAACTCAACTCGATCCGAGATGAACGATTAAACTACAGCACCTGCAAACCATCCAACCTTCTCACTGTAAGAGGATGTCAAAAACATAACATCATGACATGCCGCAGCATTCAGCGATTCTGCGTAGCCCACCACACGCCAGGCCTTGGCGCCCTCGGCGCCAATCTGGTTGTCGAACAAATTGATGTTCGTGACGGACCCGTTTATTTTCAGTGCCTCAGCCAAGGCCTGGAGGCAGCGACAGATCAAGGCTGGCGTCTTGTTAGAGGGCCCTTCGGACAAAACCTGATTTCTGAAATGCTCAAACAAAAGGACATTCAACTGAGACATGTCCAATCTCTCTGATTCAAAACTTGGAAAACAATCCAGACATCCACAGTTTCATTCAGCATCTAGATACAGTATGACATACAGCTGGATTGGGAGTATTTGACAACTCAACTCGATCCGAGATGAACGATTAAACTACAGCACCTGCAAACCATCCAACCTTCTCACTGTAAGAGGATGTCAAAAACATAACATCATGACATGCCGCAGCATTCAGCGATTCTGCGTAGCCCACCACACGCCAGGCCTTGGCGCCCTCGGCGCCAATCTGGTTGTTGGACAAACTGATGTCTGTGACGGACGCATTTATCTTCAGTGCCTCGGCCAAGGCCTGGAGGCAGCGACAGATCAAGGTTGGCATGTTGTTCGTGGGCCCTTCAAACAAAACCTGATTTCTGAAATGCTCAAAAAAAAGGACATTCAACTGAGAAATGTCGAATCTCTCTGATTCAAAACTTGGAAAAACAATCCAGAAATCCATGGTTTCATTCAGCATCTACATACAGGATATGACATACAGCTGGATTGGGAGTATTTGACAACTCAACTCGATCCGAGATGAACGATTAAACTACAGCACCTCAAACCATCCAAACTTCTCACTGTAAGAGGATGTCAAAAACATAACATCATGACATGCCGCAGCATTCAGCGATTCTGCGTAGCCCACCACACACCAGGCCTCGGCCCCCTCGGTGCCAATCTGGTTGTCGTACAAACCGATTTTTGCGACAGAGGCGTTTATCTTCAGTGCCTCGGACAAGGCCTGGAGGCAGCGACAGATGAAGGTTGGCGTCTTGTTCGAGGGCCCTTCGGACAAAACCTGATTTCTGAAATGCTCCAAAAAAAGGACATTCAACTGAGAAATGTCCAATCTCTCTGATTCAAAACTTGGAAAATCAAATCAGACATCCAGAATTTCATTCAGCATCTACATACAGTATGACATACAGCTGGGTTGGGAGTATTTGACAACTCAACTCGATCCGAGATGAACGATGAAACTACAGCACCTGCAAACCATCCAAACTTCTCACTGTAAGAGGATGTCGAAAACATAACATCATGACATGCCGCAGCATTCAGCGATTCTGCGTAGCCCACCACACCCCAGGCCTTGGCGCCCTCGTCGCCAATCTGGTTGTGAGGCCAATTGATGTTCGTGATGGACTTGTTTATTTTAAGTGCCTCAGCCAAGGCCTGGAGGCAGCGACGGATCAAGGTTGGCGTCTTGTTAGAGGGCCCTTCGGACAAAACCTGATTTCTGAAATGCTCAAAAAAAAGACATTCAACTTAGACATGTCCAATCTCTCTGATTCAAAACTTGGAAAAACAATCCAGAAATCCACGGTTTCATTCAGCATCTACATACAGCTGGATTGGGAGTATTTGACAACTCAACTCGATCCGAGATGAACGATTAAACTACAGCACCTGCAAACCATCCAAACTTCTCACTGTAAGAGGATGTCAAAAACATAACATCATGACATGCCGCAGCATTCAGCGATTCTGCGTAGCCCACCACACACCAGGCCTCGGCCCCCTCGGTGCCAATCTGGTTGCTGTACAAACCGATTTTTGCGACAGAGGCGTTTATCTTCAGTGCCTCGGCCAAGGCCTGGAGGCAGGGACAGATTAAGGTTGGCATCTTGTTCGTGGTTTCTACCGTCAAAACCTGATCACTGAAATCCCACGAACAATTCACATTCAACTGAGAGATATCGAATCTCTCTGATTCAAAAATTGAAAAAACAATCCCCATTCAGCATCTACATATTTGCTGACAACTCAACTCGATCAGAGATGAACGATGAAACTACAGCACCTCCAAACTTCAAACTTGTCACTGTCACAGGATGTCCGGGACATGACATCTTCCATCAAATCGCCGCAGCATTCTGCGGAGCCCGCCACACACCAGGCCTTGGCGCCCTCGGCACCAATCTGGTTCCCTCCCAAATTGATGTTCGTGATGGACTTGTTGATTTTAAGTGCCTCGGCCAAGGCCTGGAGGCAGCGACAGGTCAAGGTTGGCGTCCAGATTTTAAGGGCTCTACAGACAAAACCTGATTTCTGAAATGCTCAAAAAAAGGACATTCAACTGAGACATGTCCAATCTCTCTGATTCAAAACTTGGAAAAACAATCCAGAAATCCACGGTTTCATTCAGCATCTACATACAGGATATGACATACAGCTGGATTGGGAGTATTTGACAACTCAAATCAATCCGAGATGAACGATGAAACTACAGCACCTGCAAACCATCCAAACTTCTCACTGTCAAAGGATGTCGAAAATATGACATCATGACATGCTGCAGCATTCAGTGGAGCCCACCACACACCAGGCCTCGGCACCCACGTTACCAATGTTGTTGTTATCCAAATCGATGTTCGTGACAGATCCGTTTATCTTCAGTGCCTCGGCCAAGGCCTGGAGGTAGCGACAGATTAAGGTTGGCATCTCGTTCGTGGTTTCTACCGTCAAAACCTGATCACTGAAATCCCGCGAACAATTCACATTCAGCTGAGAGATATCGAATCTCTCTGATTCAAAACTTGGAAAAACAATCCAGAAATCCATGGTTTCATTCAGCATCTACATACAGGATATGACATACAGCTGGATTGGGAGTATTTGACAACTCAACTCGATCCGAGATGAACGATGAAACTACAGCACCTGCAAACCATCCAAACTTCTCACTGTCAGAGGATTTCGAAAACATTGACATCATGACATGCCGCAGCATTCAGCGATTCTGCGGAGCCCATCCCACACACCAGGCCTTCACACCCTCGGCGCCAATCTGGTTGTTGAACAAACTGATGTCTGTGACGGACGCATTTATCTTCAGTGCCTCGGCCAAGGCCTGGAGGTAGCGACAGATTAAGGTTGGCATCTCGTTCGTGGTTTCTACCGTCAAAACCTGATCACTGAAATCCCACGAACAATTCACATTCAGCTGAGAGATATCGAATCTCTCTGATTCAAAACTTGGAAAAACAATCCAGAAATCCACGGTTTCATTCAGCATCTCCATACAGCTGGTTTGGGAGTATTTGACAACTCAACTCGATCCGAGATGAACGATGAAACTACAGCACCTACAAACCATCCAAACTTCTCACACTGTCAAAGGATGTCGAAAACATGACATCATGACATGCCGCAGCATTCAGCGATTCTGCGGAGCCCACCACACACCAGGCCTTGGCGCCCTCGGCACCAATCTGGTTCTCTCCCAAATTGATGTTCGTGATGGACTTGTTGATTTTAAGTGCCTCGGCCAAGGCCTGGAGGCAGCGACAGGTCAAGGTTGGTGTCTTGTCCGAGGGCCCTTCGGTCAAAACCCGATTTCTGAAATGCTCAGAAAAAAAGGACATTCAACTGAGACATGTCCAATCTCTCTGAATTGAGACCTGAAAAAACAATCCAGAAATCCACCGTTTTATTCAGCATCTACACATTAATTTGCTGACAACTCAACTCGATCAAAGATGAACGATGAAACTACAGCACCTCCAAACTTCAAACTTGTCACTGTCACAGGATGTCCGGGACATGACATCTTCCATCAAATCGCCGCAGCATTCTGCGGAGCCCGCCACACACCAGGCCTTGGCGCCCTCGGCACCAATCTGGTTCTCTCCCAAATTGATGTGCGTGATGGACTTGTTGATTTTAAGTGCCTCGGCCAAGGCCTGGAGGCAGCGACAGGTCAAGGTTGGTGTCTTGTTCGAGGGCCCTTCGGTCAAAACCCGATTTCTGAAATGCTCAAAAAAAGGACATTCAACTGAGACATGTCGAATCTGTCTGATTCAAAATATTCAAAAATTGAAAAAACAATCCCCATTCAGCATCTACATATTTGCTGACAACTCAACTCGATCCGAGATGAACGATGAAACTACAGCACCTCCAAACTTCAAACTTGTCACTGTCACAGGATGTCCGGGACATGACATCTTCCATCAAATCGCCGCAGCATTCAGTGGAGCCCACCACACACCAGGCCTTGGCGCCCTCGTCGCCAATCTCGCCAATCTGGTGTCTACATAAATCGATGTTAGTGATGGACTTGTTGATTTTAAGTGCCTCCGCCAAGGCCTGGAGGCAGCAACAGATCAAGGCTGGCATTTTGTTCGTGGTTCTACCGTCAAAACCCGATCACTGAAATCCCTTGAACAATTGACATTCAAGTGAGAAATGTCGAATCTCTCGGACTCGAAACCTGGAAAAACAATCCAGAAATCCACAGTTTCATTCAGCATCTACGTACAGAGTCATACAGCTGGATTGGGAGTATTTGACAACTCAACTCGATCCGAGATGAACGATGAAACTACAGTAACTACAGCACCTGCAAACCATCCAAACTTCTCACTGTAAGAGGATGTCGAAAATATGACATCATGACATGCCGCAGCATTCAGCGATTCTGCGGAGCCCATCCCACACACCAGGCCTTGGCGCCCTCGTCGCCAATATCATTGTTCAAATTGATTTTCGTGACGGACGAGTTTATCTTCAGCGCCTCGGCCCAGGCCTGGAAACAGCGACAGATCAAGGCTTTCAGTCAAAAGGTAGTGTGACTTGAAACCTGGCCATAGCCTTTTAAAGTGCCCAGGTTTCCAAGGATCAACGACATGGAAAGAACTTAACCTGTATGTGATTAAGGGCATGCACATTTTCACGCATGAGCGCCATCCGTGTACACAGACACTTGAATTAAAAACTATCGCCATTGTCACGCGAGACGGCAAACGGGCCTGGAGACGGACTGGAGTTTCGAAAGGAGTTCTGCGCGCTTGCCTGTCACTCTCCTCCTGCCAACATGTGCTAAGGGCATGCCATGGGGAAAGCGGGGGTCGGACCAAAGTGTCTGTAAAAACTGTCCGCCGTGCCTACCAGCCTTCAACGGTTTGCAGCACAAAATCAAACACATTGATCACACATTGATCAGAAAACATGGAGCCTGCAAAGGAAACATGTGAGACACCCTGGGGTCACCCTGAAGGAATCACACCCTCTGCTGAAGCTACCTCTGATTGAATTCAGAAAATCTTTATACCAGTATCTTATATTGAAATCTGGAATATCTGGAATGGTTCTCTGCAGCAAGATTTCCTGGAAATAACTGCGGATGTGATTCCTGTTGTAAAAATGCCTAGATTTGATCAAAACATGGCGAAAGGAAATGAATCTCCAGCTCATTCTACATCAAACGGAAATTCGGAAATGTAATCTAAGTGCAAGTGGATGAAGAGAACCATATTATATCCCAGATCATTGGTAGAGGAGGTCTCCTCCGGATTCCTAAGGATGAAGAACCTGGATTCAATTTGCCTGGATGCTGTTTTAATTCATTAACCAGGAGCATGTCTATTCACTCACGTCAAAAGAGAAAACAATGAGGCTGCAATCCTACGTCTGACTGTCAAAAAATGACATCAATACATGCCGCAGCATTCAGCGAGTATTCTGTGAAGCCCACCACACACACCAGGCCTTGTCACCCTCAGCACCAATCTGGTTGTATTGCAAAGCGATGTTCGTCATGGACTTGTTTATCTCCAGTGCCTCGGCCAAGGCCTGGAGGCAGCGACATATCAAGGTCGGCGTCTTGCTCGAGGGCTCTATGGTCAAAACAAAATGACATTTCACAAGACTTGGCAAACAATGCAGAAAGCGACAGTTGCTTACAGCATCTACATATTTGACAACTCTCCTCGATCAGAGATGAACGATGAAACTACAGCACCTCCAAACAAACAACATTTATTTCAGTCAAAGAATGTCGAGGACATGACATGAATACATGCCGCGGCATTCAACGGAGACAACCGCACACCAGGCCTTGGCACCCTCGGCACCAATGTTGTTGTGTTCCCAGTCGATGTTCATGACGGACTTGTTGATCTGTAGTGCCTCGGCCAAGGCCTGGAGGCAGCGACAGATCAAGGCTGGCGTCTAGATTTTAAGTGCCCTACAGACAAAACCTTAGATCTGAAATCCTCTGACCAAAGGACATTTAATTTAACTAGGACCTGCAAATCTATCTGATTGAACCCTTGCAAGAACACTCCAGAAATCAACCATGAATGACGAAACTCCAGCACCTCCAAACCATCCAAACTTGTCACTGTCACAGGATGCCGGGAAAGTATGGGAAAGTGACATCATGACATGCCGCAGCATCAGCCGAGCCCATCCCACACACAACCTCGGCCCCGTCGTCGCGAATCTGGTTGACTCCCAAATTGATGTCCGTGACGGACGCGTTTGTCTTCAGCGCCTCGGCCAAGGCCTGGAAACAGAGACAGAGCAAGGCTGGCGTCTTCATCCAGGGCTCTACCGTTCAAATCGTGATCACTGAAATCCGGAGAACACATGACATTTAACCGATTTAACTCTGACATGTGAATCTCTCTGATACAGAACTTAGCAAACAATACAGAAAGCGACAGTTGCTTGCAGCATCTACATATTTGACAACTCTCCTTGAACAGAGATGAATGATGAAACTACAGGACCTCCAAACCATCCAAACTTGTCACTGTCAAAGGATGTCAAAACATATGAAAACAGAAGCATACAGCGGTGGGCTCTACCGTCAAAACCTGATCACTGAAATCCTGAGAACAAATATATGCAAATATGGAAAAAAACATTTAACTCAAACATGTGAATCTCTCTGATGCGAAACTTAGCAAACAATGGCAATCAACCCAGAAATCCACACTTTCATTCACCATCCACATGTTCGAAGAAGTCTCCTCGATCAACCATGAATGACGAAACTCCAGCACCTCCAAACCATCCAAACTTGTCACTGTCACAGGATGCCGGGAAAGTATGGGAAAGTGACATCATGACATGCCGCAGCATTCAGCGATTCTGCGGAGCCCATCCCACACACCAGGCCTTGGCGCCCTCGGCACCAATGTCGTTGAAAAACAAACCGATGCCCGTGACGGACGTGTTTGTCTTCAGCGCCTCGGCCAAGGCCTGGAAACAGAGACAGATCAAGGCTGGCGTCTTCATCCAGGGCTCTACGGTTCAAATCGTGATCACTGAAATCCGGAGAACACATGACATTTAACTCTGACATGTGAATCTCTCTGATACGAAACTTAGCAAACAATGCAGAAAGCGACAGTTGCTTACAGCATCTACATATTTGACAACTCTCCTTGAACAGAGATGAATGATGAAACTACAGCACCTCCAAACCATCCAAACTTGTCACTGTCAAAGGATGTCGAAAACATATGAAAACAGAAGCATTTAGCGGTGGGCTGTACCGTCAAAACCTGATCACTGAAATCCAGAGAACAAATATATGCAAATATGAAAAAAACATTTATATAACTCAAACATGTGAATCTCTCTGATGCGAAACTTAGCAAACAATGGCAATCAACCCAGAAATCCAAACTTTCATTCACCATCTACATGTTCGAAGAAGTCTCCTCGATCAACCATGAATGGCAAAACTCCAGCACCTCCAAACCATCCAAACTTGTCACTGTCACAGGATGCCGGGAAAGTATGGGAAAGTGACATCATGACATGCCGCAGAATTCAGTGGAGCCCATCCCACACACAACCTCGGCCCCGTCGTCGCGAATCTGGTTGACTCCCAAATTGATGTCCGTGACGGACGCGTTTGTCTTCAGCGCCTCTGCCAAGGCCTGGAAACAGAGACAGATCAAGGCTGGCGTCTTCATCCAGGGCTCTACGGTTCAAATCGTGATCACTGAAATCCGGAGAACACATGACATTTAACTCTGACATGTGAATCTCTCTGATACAGAACTTAGCAAACAATGCAGAAATCGACAGTTGCTTACAGCATCTATATGTTCGACAACTCTCCTTGAACAGAGATGAATGATGAAACTACAGGACCTCCAAACCATCCAAACTTGTCACTGTCAAAGGATGTCGAAAACATATGAAAACAGAAGCATTCAGCGGTGGGCTCTACCGTCAAAACCTGATCACTGAAATCCTGAGAACATCTGAGAACAAATATATGCAAATATGAAAAAATAACATTTAACTCAAACATGTGAATCTCTCTGATGCGAAACTTAGCAAACAATGGCAATCAACCCAGAAATCCACACTTTCATTCACCATCTAATCGAGTACATGTTCGAAGAAGTCTCCTCGATCAACCATGAATGACGAAACTCCAGCACCTCCAAACCATCCAAACTTGTCACTGTCACAGGATGCCGGGAAAGTGTGGGAAAGTGACATCATGACATGCCGCAGCATTCAGCGATTCTGCGGAGCCCATCCCACACACCAGGCCTTGGCGCCCTCGGTGCCAATCCGGTTCCGTGACAAATGGATGTCCGTGACGGACGCGTTTGTCTTCAGCGCCTCGGCCAAGGCCTGGAAACGGAGACAGATCAAGGCTGGCGTCTTCATCCAGGGCTCTACCGTTCAAATCGTGATCACTGAAATCCGGAGAACACATGACATTTGACCCTGACATGTGAATCTCTCTGATACAGAACTTAGCAAACCGATGCAGAAATCGACAGTTGCTTACAGCATCTACATATTTGACAACTCTTCTTGAACAGAGATGAATGATGAAACTACAGGACCTCCAAACCATCCAAACTTGTCACTGTCACAGGATGCCGGGAAAGTATGGGAAAGTGACATCATGACATGCCGCAGCATTCAGCGATTCTGCGGAGCCCATCCCACACACCAGGCCTTGGCGCCCTCGGCACCAATGTCGTTGCGAATCAAACCGATGCTCGTGACGGACGAGTTTATCTTCAGTGCCTCGGCCAAGGCCTGGAAACGGAGACAGAGCAAGGCTGGCGTCTTCATCCAGGGCTCTACCGTTCAAATCGTGATCACTGAAATCCGGAGAACACATGACATTTAACTCTGACATGTGAATCTCTCTGATGCGAAACTTAGCAAACAATGCAGAAAGCGACAGTTGCTTACAGCATCTACATATTTGACAACTCTCCTTGAACAGAGATGAATGATGAAACTACAGGACCTCCAAACCATCCAAACTTGTCACTGTCACAGGATGCCGGGAAAGTATGGGAAAGTGACATCATGACATGCCGCAGCATTCAGCGATTCTGCGGAGCGAACCCACACACCAGGCCTTGGACCCCTCGGCACCAATGTCGTTCCATCCCAAATCGATCTTTGTGACGGACGCGTTTGTCTTCAGCGCCTCGGCCAAGGCCTGGAAACAGAGACAGATCAAGGCTGGCGTCTTCATCCAGGGCTCTACCGTTCAAATCGTGATCACTGAAATCCGGAGAACACATGACATTTGACCCTGACATCTGAATCTCTCTGATACAGAACTTAGCAAACAATGCAGAAAGCGACAGTTGCTTACAGCATCTACATATTTGACAACTCTTCTTGAACAGAGATGAATGATGAAACTACAGGACCTCCAAACCATCCAAACTTGTCACTGTCACAGGATGCCGGGAAAGTATGGGAAAGTGACATCATGACATGCCGCAGCATTCAGCGATTCTGCGGAGCCCATCCCACACACCAGGCCTTGGCGCCCTCGTCGCCAATCTCGTTCAATCGCAAATCGATGTCCGTGACGGACGCGTTTGTCTTCAGCGCCTCGGCCAAGGCCTGGAAACAGAGACAGATCAAGGCTGGCGTCTTCATCCAGGGCTCTACCGTTCAAATCGTGATCACTGAAATCCGGAGAACACATGACATTTGACCCTGACATGTGAATCTCTCTGATACAGAACTTAGCAAACAATGCAGAAAGCGACAGTTGCTTACAGCATCTACATATTTGACAACTCTCCTTGAACAGAGATGAATGATGAAACTACAGGACCTCCAAACCATCCAAACTTGTCACTCTCAAAGTATGTCGAAAACATATGAAAACAGAAGCATTCAGCGGTGGGCTCTACCGTCAAAACCTGATCACTGAAATCCTGAGAACAAATATATGCAAATATGAAAAAAATACATTTAACTCAAACATGTGAATCTCTCTGATGCGAAACTTAGCAAACAATGGCAATCAACCCAGAAATCCACACTTTCATTCACCATCTACATGTTCGAAGAAGTCTCCTCGATCAACCATGAATGACGAAACTCCAGCACCTCCAAACCATCCAAACTTGTCACTGTCACAGGATGCCGGGAAAGTATGGGAAAGTGACATCATGACATGCCGCAGCATTCAGCGATTCTGCGGAGCCCATCCCACACACCAGGCCTTGGCGCCCTCGGCGCCAATCTCGTTCCACAAATCGATGCCCGTGACGGACGCGTTTGTCTTCAGCGCCTCGGCCAAGGCCTGGAAACAGAGACAGATCAAGGCTGGCGTCTTCATCCAGGGCTCTACCGTTCAAATCGTGATCACTGAAATCCGGAGAACACATGACATTTAACTCTGACATGTGAATCTCTCTGATACAGAACTTAGCAAACAATGCAGAAAGCGACAGTTGCTTACAGCATCTACATATTTGACAACTCTCCTTCAACAGAGATGAATGATGAAACTACAGGACCTCCAAACCATCCAAACTTGTCACTGTCAAAGTATGTCGAAAACATATGAAAACAGAATTATTCAGCGGTGGGCTCTACCATCAAAACCTGATCACTGAAATCCTGAGAACAAATATATGCAAATATGAAACAATTACATTTAACTCAGACATGTGAATCTCTCTGATGCGAAACTTAGCAAACAATGGCAATCAACCCAGAAATCCGCACTTTCATTCAGAAATTCACCATCTACATGTTCGAAGAAGTCCCCTCGATCAACCATGAATGACGAAACTCCAGCACCTCCAAACCATCCAAACCATCCAAACTTGTCACTGTCACAGGATGCCGGGAAAGTATGGGAAAGTGACATCATGACATGCCGCAGCATTCAGCGATTCTGCGGAGCCCATCCCACACACCAGGCCTTGGCGCCCTCGGCACCAATGTCTTCCATCCCAAATCGATCTTTGTGACGGACGCGTTTGTCTTCAGCGCCTCGGCCAAGGCCTGGAAACAGAGACAGATCAAGGCTGGCGTCTTCATCCAGGGCTCTACCGTTCAAATCGTGATCACTGAAATCCGGAGAACACATGACATTTGACCCTGACATGTGAATCTCTCTGATACAGAACTTAGCAAACCGATGCAGAAATCGACAGTTGCTTAGAGCATCTACATGTTCGACAACTCTCCTTGAACAGAGATGAATGATGAAACTACAGGACCTCCAAACCATCCAAACTTGTCACTGTCAAAGGATGTCGAAAACATATGAAAACAGAAGCATTCAGCGGTGGGCTCTACCGTCAAAACCTGATCACTGAAATCCTGAGAACATCTGAGGACAAATATATGCAAATATGAAACAATTACACTTAACTCAGACATGTGAATCTCTCTGATGCGAAACTTAGCAAACAATGGCAATCAACCCAGAAATCCGCACTTTCATTCAGAAATTCACCATCTACATGTTCGAACAAGTCCCCTCGATCAACATGAATGACGAAACTCCAGCACCTCCAAACCATCCAAACCATCCAAACTTGTCACTGTCACAGGATGCCGGGAAAGTATGGAAAAGTGACATCATGACATGCCGCAGCATTCAGCCATTCTGCGGAGCCCATCCCACACACCAGGCCTTGGCGCCCTCGGCACCAATGCCGTTGTATCGCAAATCAATGCTCGTGACGGACGAGTTTGTCTTCAGCGCCTCGGCCAAGGCCTGGAAACAGAGACAGATCAAGGCTGGCGTCTTCATCCAGGGCTCTACCGTTCAAATCGTGATCACTGAAATCCGGAGAACACATGACATTTGACCCTGACATGTGAATCTCTCTGATACAGAACTTAGCAAACCAATGCAGAAATTGACAGTTGCTTACAGCATCTACATGTTCGACAACTCTCCTTGAACAGAGATGAATGATGAAACTACAGGACCTCCAAACCATCCAAACTTGTCACTGTCAAAGGATGTCGAAAACATATGAAAACAGAAGCATTCAGCGGTGGGCTCTACCGTCAAAACCTGATCACTGAAATCCTGAGAACATCTGAGAACAAATATATGCAAATATGAAACAATTACATTTAACTCAGGATCCCAAGAACGCCTTGACCATGAGTGTAGTGCTCTTGGCGTCGTCATTGCGGACTGTGATCATTTGCAATCCGCTGGTTGCGAAGGCCTTCCATGGGCGCGAGAGTCGACACATGCACACTGAAGAATGCAAAAACGTTGCATGATCAAGCGATGACAAAGGTCAATGTGCCCAATGTGCCTCTGCAAGGGCTTCAACCTGCTCTTCGTCACATCGAAAGGTTTTCAGCGTCAAGCTTTTCAAGTTCTTGTAGAGTGGCAAAGCATGAGCCAACGCCAGCATTTGATCGGCTGGAAGGCCTTCCAACTCAAGGTGCTCGCAGGCCGTCACCTTTTCGAAAAATATCTTTTTTTGCAAACGGATGACGCTTTCCGCATCGGATCTGTGAGTAAAGACAGCCTCTTCCATTTTGGATCGAAACTTTTCAGGGGTCATCGGGATCCTGCCATTCAGGTCACTGCCATCACCGGAGCGGTCATCGACTCCATCGATTCTTTGGTGCTGGAGATTTACCGTCCTCAGTAGCTGTAATGTCACAGGACTCATTATATGTTGTAAGCACTTGCAAGCAGCGTGCCTGCAAAACAAATCAAGATACAACTCATGTACATTCTGAGAGCCAGACCTGAGTGAACTCCATTCCACCTCTGCCATGCACCATCCGCGAGAAAGGTAGGCGGATTTGTTTGCAACCAAATCCTTCAAAGGTTTGGCTACAACACATTTCTGGTCTTTGTCATAAACAGGGACAAGTTCGGTCCCGTTATCCATCATGCGATTCCAGACAACATCTGGTGTGAGATTTTCGATACGCAGGGTCAGCGTGTGCTCGTGAGCGTACATCACATGCATATTTTGCATGGCTGCTCCGAAGCTGCTTTGTTCTTCAGGAGAGAACCGCTCAAATTGGAACAACGATGCATAATCGTAAAACACCCAAACATCAGCCTTGAAAGCAGCTTCGTACAATGCAACACGCTGCGCAATCTGCTCCAGCTGATATCTACAAGGATCTGGATGCTCGCGTGTCTCCCAAGCATGGGAGATTGAGCAGATGATCGCATCCCTATTCCCTTCAGCCCAGGTCTGTACTTCCTGGTGGCTCACCAAGGCTGTTTCAGCCTCGGAGTCAGGCGGAACGAAGGTCATGGACTGAAGTTCTTGGCGACGTGGTAATGGGCGTCCGGAAAGGACCAGCTCAGTGAGGTACCTGAGGCTTTGATGTTGGGCAAGTCAGATGCAAAGGAAGTCCCGAACCCTCAGCAAGAACTACGTAACCGACGTAACCGTAACAACAGTAGGACTTGCACCTGGCACGAACCAAACGTACGTCTGCATCGTGGAGGAATTGCGCGAACGCCTTTGCATCCTTCAAGTCGTATTGAGCCTAGGTCAACGTTGGTGCCAGTTTTTCCTGGGAAATGTGGCTCCACAAGACAATCCTCAACCAGGAGAAAAGACGAACAAGAACCCGCTCACGGAGGTTTAATGACGAGGATAGGATCACATGCATGCTGGAATGATCAGGCACAGGGTTGATGGTGGGCACCAGGCCTCTGCCTCGGCTATCCGAACAATGGCCTTAGGCGGTCGGCAACTCAAGCTCGGGCTACACCAATCCAACGGATCCCTGGAGTTAAAGAAACGATTTCAAAGTGGTGCAGAAATGGGGAGCTTTAGCATCGAAAAAGAAAAATACGAAAAGTCTGCAAGGTGCCAGGGTGACCCAGGGTGCCTTCGGATCAAATGGGAGGGGAAAGAGTGGCTGACTGAAGGGATCCTCATCGCCACTGAGCTCGCGGGCTTCGCGCACCCTGGAGGCAACGTCCCGCCTAGGCACCGACTGCACAGATCAACGATCCCTTCCCCCCTCTGCAAACCAAATGCCGAGATGGGACAATGTTGCAGGAATATTATATTGACTTATGTTATAATTTATAAGTCAGAACATGTCACACACCATGCCAGGAAGGTACATTGCTTTCCTCAATCAATCTCGGATGTTGAAAGATCGGGAAAAAAGTATTCGGTCAGAAGCACAACTCTCAGCCCACCTGGCTGTCTCAGTCCCAACCTGTCGGGACGGCGAGAAGGTTCCGTTCTTCCGTTCTTTTTTTGTCGATGTTCATCTGCGATGAGCCGAACACCATTAGTACTTTGATGTACTTTGATATTCGAGATCAGGATCTGGAAGCCAACAAATTGCTTACTTGACGAGCGGGTCTACATGTCATTCAGCCATGCAACAGGTTTTCAAGTGTATGGTCTATCACCACATCACACCGCCGCGCCTGAGAGCCGCCAAGCTGCAAGAAGTACTTGGATAGCTTCGCGATGTCGAGGTGACCATCACCTCATAGGCTATAGATGGCTATGGTGGCTGTACTCATAGTGTCTCATAGTTGTCATTGGCAACACAGCTGGTTTTCTTGAAATCTGAAATGGAGTGCACCTCATGGATTGTTTCCCCATGACAAGTTAAATGACAACGATGGTTCATGATGGCTCTCATCTGTGGGGCGCTAAACGAAGAGGATTGGCTTGCAACCGGGGCGCTGTTCCTCGGCATCTTGCGAAGACTGGCCTCACCGTGCCGTAGGGACAATCATCAGAGAAGACAACGTCTATGGATTGGTTTCAGGGAAAACATTGTTCTGATTCTGCTCTCGTTACAAATATTATATATATATAAATTTTAGATTCATTGTTATAGATTCATTGTTATGTATCATTTTTTATTCATTATCATATGTATGTGTGTGTGCTAAAAATTTATATACATACATCATCATATATCATCATATGTAGAGAAGATAAACTGATTGACAAACTTTGACAAACTTTGACGAGCTTTGAAGGTACTGCAGCTTCCTGGCAGCCTCCAGACACTACAACCGACAGCATCCATCCCCAGTTCCATGCAGCTCCCACCTGGACTTCATCCGGGCTCAGCTCACTTCCTGGACGCGGCAAAAGTTCGAGCGACACTGAGGCATCCTTCACAGCGTGTCACTCCACATTTCATCAGCTCTGTGTTGATCTCTCTTAAAATGGGAACTCCTCTCTGAGCTCCTACCGGTCGTATTTTTTCAAATCCCAACCACATCTGATCCTGCCTCTCATCACTTCTTGTAGTTCCTCCTTGGACAAGGCACCTTTGCCGTCCTTATCAAACTGCTTCAGATAGTCTAGCAATTCCTGCGCATACACGCTGGCCAAACAGAGAAACGGAGTCTCCGAAAGCATCTGTTGCACAGAACGAGATGAGAAGGAGTGAGTAAAATCCCAACATGACAGCAAGCTTGATTGCAAGCTTGATTGGCGCGCTGATGATGAATTATCATAATTATCACTTGGCTGGCCTGAACTTTTGGAATCGGCTTTCCCAATTCTTCCTGCACCATGCAGCTTGCAGAAAGAGTCACGGCCTTGTACTGTAAGGCCTCGCATCTCACATGCGGAGATCGAAACTCGTGCGACAAGAAATGCCAGAACTTCAGATTGTTCATAGCTGTATTGATTTTTTGATTTAATTCGAGAGTTTTTTCTTTCTGAGAAAAAATGTTTCCTCATCTGCAGCAACATAAGCTTCAGGAAAAAGAATACCAGTCCTCAATGAGATTGTGAAACATCTTGTGGTCGATGTACTCCGGACGACCCAGATCCGTCAAACGCTTCTCCACCTGATCGCGGCGGAAGATTTACTTCAACAGGAGCAGGAACAAACATTAACACAACAGGGAAGTAAGTGCGGGAAAGATTTAAACGCAGCAAGAATTGCTGCCAAGGATCCTCATCTTCCGTGGGGTTCATCCCAAGAACACCCATGGCATGCCCGAGTCGTGCAGCCGGAAGTCCAGATGGTTTGGAGAAGTATTTGAACACGGCATCTGTGGAGGCCAAAATCTGGTTGAGCAGTGCGGAGTAGGCCTTGAAAACGAGGACACCAAGAGATTTCAAGAGAGATCAAGGGATCCTGAGGTCAGAGTCATAGGTCTTATGAGGAAAAAAGCAGGCAGCTGTTCATCTTTTATGCAACCAATAGAAGGACATGGAAAAACCGCAGAGTTGCCCACAAAACACGTTCTACCTTCACACACCTGACAAGATTTTCCAAAGAAGTTTTGCTCCCACTGAGCCACATCCGGCTCTATTTTGTCTGTTTTCTCACCCGGAATCCAGAAATCAAGAAGGTTGACACAAACCACATTTCCAAATCCACTCCAATTCCTGAGCCTCATGCTGGGCCGCTCACGCTCTCCTGCAGTCAGAATCGTGTCGAGTACTCACATGTTGAGCTCTGTATGTCAAAGGCCCTCCATCGTTAACTCAATTGAACATAATTTAACCTGTTCAACATCGAATATGTTGCAATTCTTTCTGAGAACTCTTTTGTGGCCCTATCCGTTGAAGAGACAAACACTCTCTTCCATTTCGGGGGCACGCTGTCCTCGGCAGCTTGGGTGTCTTTGCCTCAGAAACGCAGCTGGAAAAACGTGACGTTCACTGTGAATCACCTTCCATGATCCAAATGACATCATACATGGGCTCGACTCGTGCAACTCTGAGAACGGCTGTACGTTACTACTAGATTCTTTTCAATGCGACTGCATAATCCAAATATAGTCAAATATGGTGCAACCATCTGCTTCTGCCGATGAAGGTTTATGCCAATTGTCATACGTGTGCCATGTCAAGGCTGACTAGATGTATGAAGACTGTATGACATACTTCCAAGATTTACTAAAAACTCTGAGTTCCTGGACCTCGTTGACATTTTTCAGCACCGGCTTTGTCTGCCTCACAGAAAAGCAGGGAGGGACACCCCATCTACAACATGAAGGCAAACCTTGTCACCCATGAAGCCCGAAAAGTGACTCGGTCAGAAGTTCCAAAGTGCGAAACACGTGTTGCGTCCGGTCAAATGAAGTAACCCGACGAAATAAAAAAGAGCCACTTTTCAGAAGAGCGCCCGACGGCACCAAGTTCAACGATGAAAAATCAAACAGACAGCCTGATAAATAATGGCTGCAACATTACATCCCAATGAAGGCTTAGAACATTCGTTCAAAACACCCGCATAAGATATATGCTATATGAATATTTATATCGTTCCAAACGGCACACTGAAGTCGAAACAATGAGACCAAGGAAATGGCATAGCGTCAATTTTGATCTTAAAACTGAGGAAGTTGTTGCACTGCTACACTGGGTAAATCTGGGTAATGTCTTCCGGCAAGCCGCCTGAGAGTCGCTAAGCTCCAAGAAACACGTTGCCAGCTCCACAATGTCCAGGTGACCTTGACCTCGCCAAAATAAACTGGCATCTGAGCAATCTGAGCCCTTGTGCGTTGGAAAAATAGAAGGTTCAACAAAAAACAAAGCTTCAGGGAAAGCAGATTTCGATTAAAGCAGTGCTGACTAAATTGACTATTCATCTCTTTGGTGGTGCCCACTTCCAGCCCACAGTATTGGAAATCTCCACTTCATGACTTTTTTCAAGCAGCAAAGGATGCCACAACCCGCAGAGAGGTGTGGTGAATGATGTGATGGTTCCTATCCAACCGGCTGATTGTCAGAAGATTGCATCCAGGTTGCTGTTACTCGGCACCTTTGCGACGCTTGCCTCGCGACCCGGCAAAATGACAAGCTGTCTACATACGACTCTGGAAGTTACACATTGGAAGGAACATGAAGAAACCATGAGTAGTGAATCCAACGTCAAGTAAAAGAAAAAAACATTGAACCATTGAACCACTGCGAAAACCAGAAATGGATAGAAATGGTGTCTTGTTGTACACGTGAAAACGCAGTACATCAAAAAAAATGATTTTTGAAGGAACCGTTAAAATTTAAAGTAATGGAAAAAGTAAAACACGTTTTTTCAGTTTCTTGGTTTGGGAAATTTTGGGATTTCAGTCGTATGACAAATGACACCGTCACTGCTTCCGTGCTGTTCCCACCTGAAGTTCCTGGCCCTCATGGCCTGGACGAAATTCGATCAATTCGATCCATCCCCAGGGAACTCCACACGTCAACTCGTCGGCAGCTCACATCTACCGCGCCTCTGATCGCTTCTTGCAGTTCCTCCTTGGACAAGGCACCTTTGCCGTCCTTGTCATATTGCTTCAAATGGTCAACCACCACCTGTGCATCGCAGAACTGTACCAGTAGTATCCAGTAGTCTGCGAAATCGGTGACAATTCGGCAGATCTCAAGCAGTGAGTACTGAGTACAGTGTAACCCAGGCACAGAGGCAAAAAATTGGGCCCTGTGCTGTCATCATTTGACCGGCCTGAACTTTTTCGAAATGCTTTATCAATTCATCCTGCGGGGTGCTGCAACTTGCGGTAAAAAATCAGTGAGAATCGATTGAAATCCGAAACTTGGGGAAATAGCAGCAACATCAAGCATATCAAGTACCTTAACAAAAACACGCCTGGAACTGCCTGGAACATCATGAAACTTCGCCAAACATGGGACCAGTCCGAAGCCTCAGTCCTTGATGAAATGGTGAAACGTCCTTTCGTCAATGTACTGGGGTCCCCCAAGATCTGCCAAGTGCTTGCGGACCTGATTGCAGATCGAAACAGAAAAGCAAAAAAAGGCAAACAAGCACATCGGACAGGGAGATGCAAGTTTTCGTGATGAAAACTCCAAAGGTCAGCCCGATCTGTCAGCCCAATCTGCCCCGAAAATCGCAGCCATGCCCGTCCTCTTCTTCCGTGGGGTTCATCCCGAGAACGCGCATGGCATCCCCGAGGCGTTCAGCCAGAAATCCATCTGGCTGGGAGAAGTGTGCAAAGACCGCGTCGATGGACGTCATGATCTCCTCAATTTTGGAACGACTGGAGGCCGAGCCAAAAATCCACCTGGTAACCTAAAGGATGATATAATATCAATATCAATAAGGACTTTAATCGAAAGATATCATATGATGATTATCATGTTATCTACGATTTATCCCTGAGTACTCCATTGGCAATCCAGGCAGACTCCAAGGACTGCAGCGATACGTCAACTCCTTGAAGAGCGCACTGTGGGCCTGGGCGAAGCATGGCGAAGCATGGCGAAGCATGGCGAAGCATGGCCAAGCATGGCGAAGCATGGCGAAGCATGGCGAAGCCCTGAAAAGACTCATTCCCTAAGTGTTCACTTTGAATACAAATATAATATAATATAATATAATATAATGTAATATAATATAATATAATATAATATATAATATATAATATATATAATATAATATAATATAATGTAATATAATATAATATAATATAATATATAATATATAATATATCATATATTATATATAATATATACTATATAATATAATATATAATAAAATATAATATATAATATATAATATATAATATGATATAATATATAATATGATATAATATATAATATTAAAAATATATATATAATATAATATAATAAAATATAATATATAATATACAATATATACTATATAATATATACTATATAATATAATATAATAAAAAATATATAATATAATATAATATAATATAATATAATATATATAATAAATAATAAAATATATAATAGAAAATAATAAAATATAATATATAATATAATATAATATAAAATACAATATATAATATTATATAATAAAATATAATATATAATATAATATAATATAATATAATATTATATAATATAATATATATAAAAGAAATATAATATATAATATAATATATAATATAATATATATATAATATAATGTAATATATATAATATACAATATAATATAATATATATAATATCTAATATAATATATAATATAATATGAAATATAATCTATAATATAATAAAATATAATATACAAACAATAATATATAATCTATATAAATAATAAAATATATAATATAATATAAAATATATCATATAAAATAATATATAATATAATATAAAAAATAATATATAATATAAAATATAATAAAATATAATATATAATATAATATATACTATAATATATAATATAATATATAATATGAACTATAAAATAATATAATATTTAAAATAATATAATATATAATATAATATAATATATAATATAATAAAATATATAATATAATATAATATATAATTTAATATATAATATAAAATAAAAATAAAAATATATATATAATATAATATACAAAAAATAATATATAATATATAATAAATAATAAAATATATAATATAATATAATATATAATATAATATATAATTTAATATATAATATACCTCAATCTTCAAGAGATCAAACATGGACTGATCCCAAGTGACTTGATCTCTCCAAGAACTCGTCGCAAATGAGTCGCAAACTATATGCCCTGACAGCGGTTGCCTGTTCACTCCTTTGCGTCTGTTTTCTTTCACCCTGCATCAGTTGCTACGTACATAGTGGTTTCAAGGAGCTTAACACGGAAAATCAGGAACCTCCAGTGTTGCAGCTGCCTGTGTCAAACAAGTTTTGATCCAATGGAATAAAAAGTGATACCAATGAAAACCTATAGTTAATATATGTTAATATAATTTAATATACATATCTATTGACATATATATGTCATAGGCTCAACCTCAGAGGTGTTGAGAAAATGCGTGTACAACCAATGGATGATCGCTGGAAAAGATGTAGCGGAAACAAGGCAGAAACCACGAAACGCAATCTAAGCTTGGAATCTCCTCCTCTGTTTCCAAATTGTTTGTGGTATTTCTCGCACAATATTGTGTTGAGGCAACGCTTTGGTTCCAAAAGCTCGCTGCGCAGGTTGGAAGGAGAAGGGCCACGTCCAAGTTCTGTGACAAGAACCTAAAAACCA